ATTATACTTTATTTATTATTATTATATTTATTATTTTATTCTATTTTATTACATTTATTATTTTACTCTATTGTTATTACATTTATTATTTTACTTTATTATTATTATTACATTTATTATTCTATTGTTATTACATTTGTTATTATACTTTATTTATTATTATTATATTTATTATTTTATTCTATTTTATTACATTTATTATTTTACTCTATTTATTATCATTATATTTATTATTCTATTGTATTATTACATTTATTATTTTACTCTATTTATTATTATTATATCTATTATTTTACTCTATTATTATTTACGTAGTCTCTATTATTCTTGGAAGAGGTTAGAATAATGGTTTAATCAGAGTTAGACAGTCTTATCTTAAATTACAGTTTTATGTAAATATTCAACCTACGGATGCCTCAATTAATGTAATTTTATTGGTATCTTATTTTCCTTTTGAAATTGACCAGTAACTGCTGCATTCCCTATCATCGGCTTATACTCAAATCAATAAATACATAAATAAATTGGGATGATGTTAACAATATCTCTTGGGATGATTTATTTATTAATTAAATACATAAATAAATTGGGATGATGTTAACAATATCTGTTGGGACGATTTATTAATTAATTAAATCTATAAAAATGTAATGTTTGTTTGTGGGATTAACAGAACTCAAAAACCACTGGATGAATTGACACCAAATTTGGACACAAGACACCTAACAACCCAATGTATGTCCTTCACTCAAAAAAAATTGATTTTGTCATTTGGGAGTTGTAGTTGCTGGGATTTATAGTTCACCTACAATCAAAGAGCATTCTGAACTCCACCAATGATGGAATTGAATCAAACTTGGCACACAGTTCTCCCATGACCAACAGAAAACACTAGAAGGGTTTGGTGGGCATTGATGTTGAGTTTGGGAGTTGTAGTTCACCTACATCCAGAGAACACTGTGGACACAGACAATGATGGATCTAGACCAAACTCTACACGAATACTCAATATGCCCAAATGTGAACACTGGTGGAGTTTGGGGGGAAATAGAATCTTGACATTTGGGAGTTGTAGTTGCTGGGATTTATAGTTCACCTACAATCATTCTGAACTCCATCAATGATGGAATTGAACCAAACTTGGCACACAGAACTCCCATGACCAACAGAAAACACTAGAAGGGTTTGGTGGGCATTGATGTTGAGTTTGGGAGTTGTAGTTCACTTACATCCAGAGAGCACTGTGGACTCAAACAATGATGGATCTGGACCAAACTCTACACAAATACTCAATATGCCCAAATGTGAACACTGGTGGAGTTTGGGGAAAATAGAATCTTGACATTTGGGAGTTGTAGTTGCTGGGATTTATAGTTCACCTACAATCACAGAGCATTCTGAACCCCACCAACGATAGAATTGGGCCAAACCTCCCACACAGAACCCCCATGTGGGCCACAGCAACGCGTGGCAGGGGATGGCTAATAAATAAATAAATAATGTTATGGTTAACAATATCTATTGTGATGATGTATTTATTTATTAAATACATAAATAAATTGGGATGTTGTTAATAATATCTGTTGAGATTATTGATTTATGTATTAAATACGTAAATTAATTTGAATGGTGTTAATAATATCTATTGGGATGATTTATTTATTAAATACATAAATGAATTGGGATGATAATAATAATAATAATAAAAATAATAATAATAATAATAATAATAAATAATTTTTGTGAGCTGAGCAGAGTCTTGCTTGAGGACTCATTGGGGTTCCATCGTTCTGGAGTGTCCCCTGCCTGAGCACCTGGTCTCAGGACGATGGGTCACCTGCAGAGAGGAAGTGAGTCAGGAACGTGGGGACGGGAGCTGGCAGCCACTCGTCTCTCTATATAGCCGTAGCCTCAGGTCCTGGAACCCAGGCTTCAGGAAGGAGGAGAGAACAGGCGAGTCCAGCCGGGTTGCAATGGAAGAGGCGGCACACGGTGAGCTGGTCTCGGTTGGCTTCAGCCTCCCCGGCCTGTTGGTTGTGTTCCGTTGGAGTAAGGCAATTTATGGGCTGAGTGGAGACTTGAGTGCTTGCTTACTCATTAGGGTTCTCTTCTGTGTTGTTCTAGCGGGCTTTTGAGATCAGGAGCTGGGTAGGTTTACCTTAGAGAAGAGAACGTTAGCCATGTGGAGGCTCCTTCTTTGGAAGCTTTGAAACAGAGGCTGGATGGCCATCTGTCAGGGGTGATTTGAATGCAATATTCCTGCTTCTTGGCAGAATGGGGTTGGACTGGATGATGGCCCTGGAGGTCTCTTCCAACTATGTTGTACACCGTCTCAAGCCACAAGGAAAGACTATTATTATTATTATTATTATTATTATTATTATTATTATTATTATTATGTGGGACAAGGTAGCTTTGAGCCCCAAGGAGAGCAGGTATTATTGTTGTTGTTGTTGTTATTATTATTATTATTATTATTATTATTATTATGTGGGACAAGGTAGCTTTGAGCCCCAAGGAGAGCAGGTATTATTGTTGTTGTTGTTATTATTATTATTATTATTATTATTATTATTATTATTATTATTATTATTATTATGTGGGACAAGGTAGCTTTGAGCCCCAAGGAGAGCAGGTATTATTGTTGTTGTTATTATTATTATTATTATTATTATTATTATTATTATGTGGGACAAGGTAGCTTTGAGCCCCAAGGAGAGCAGGTATTATTGTTGTTGTTGTTGTTATTATTATTATTATTATTATTATTATTTCTTCCTTCCTGGCTGAAAGGGGTAGGACTGGATGGCCCTTGGGGTTTATTGTTGTTGTTGATTATTATTATTATTATTATTATTATTATTATTATTATTATTATTATGTGGGACAAGGTAGCTTTGAGCCCCAAGGAGAGCAGGTATTATTGTTGTTGTTATTATTATTATTATTATTATTATTATTATTATTATTATGTGGGACAAGGTAGCTTTGAGCCCCAAGGAGAGCAGGTATTATTGTTGTTGTTGTTGTTATTATTATTATTATTATTATTATTATTAACAGGGGACAAGGTAGTTCTTGTACCTTGCCTCGGGTTCCAAGGAGAGGCACGTATTATTATTATTATTATTATTATTATTATTATTATTAGTATTATTATTATTATTAAGAGGGGACAAGGAAGCCGTTGTACCCTGCCTTGAGCCCCAAGGAGAAGCAGGTATCATTATTGTTATTATTAAGAGGGAACATGGTAGCATTTGTACCTTGCCTCGGGCTCCAAGGAGAGGCGCGTATCATTATTATTATTATTATTATTATTATTATTATTATCATCATTATCATTATTAAGAGGGGACAAGGTAACCATTGTACCCTGCCTTGAGCCCCAAGGAGAGGTGTATATTATTCTTATCATTATTATTATTATCATTATTAAGAGGGAACACAGCAGCTGTTGTACCTTACCTCAGGCTCCAAGGAGAGGCCGGTATTATTATTATTATTATTATTATTATTATTATTATTATTATTAAAGGAGAGGCGGGTATTATTATCATCATCACCATCATCATCATCATCAAGAAGGGACATGGTAGCTGTTGTACCTTGCCTCTGACTCCAAGGAGAGATGGATATTATTATTATTATTATTATTATTATTATTATTAAGAGGGGACAAGATAGCCGTTGTACCCTGCCTCGAGCCCCAATGATAAGCAGGTGTTGTTGTTGTTGTTGTTCTTGTTGTTATTATTATTAAGAGGGGACAAGGTAGCCATTGTACCCTGCCTCGAGCCCCAAGGAGAGGCACGTATTATTATAATTATTATGATTATTATTATTATTATTAAGAGGGGACAAGATAGCCGTTGTACCCTGCCTCGAGCCCCAATGATAAGCAGGTGTTGTTGTTGTTGTTGTTCTTGTTGTTATTATTATTAAGAGGGGACAAGGTAGCCATTGTACCCTGCCTCGAGCCCCAAGGAGAGGCACGTATTATTATTATTATTATTATTATTATTATTATTATTATTATTATTAAGAAGGGGACAAGGTAGCCGTTGTACCCTGCCTTGAGCCCCTAGGAGAAGCAGGTGTTGTTGTTGTTGTTGTTATTATTATTAGGAGGGGACATGGTAGCTGTTGTACCCTGCCTCAAGCCTCAAGGAGAATCAGGTATTATTATTATTATTATTATTATTATTATTATTATTATTATTATTATTAAGAGGGGACATGGTAGCTGTTGTACCCTGCCTCAAGCCTCAAGGAGAATCAGGTATTATTATTATTATTATTATTATTATTATTATTATTATTATTATTATTAAGAGGGGACATGGTAGCTGTTGTACCCTGCCTCAAGCCTCAAGGAGAATCAGGTATTATTATTATTATTATTATTATTATTATTATTAAGAGGGGACATGGTAGCTGTTGTACCCTGCCTCAAGCCCCAAGGGGAATCAGGTATTATTATTATTATTATTATTATTATTATTATTATTATTAAGAGGGGACATGGTAGCTTTGGGCTCCAAGGAGAGGCAGGGATTATGGTTGTTGTTGTTGTCATTGTTATTATTAAGAGGGGACATGGTAGCTATTGCACTCTTATTTGGGCCCCAAGGAGGGGCAGTTGTTGTTGTTGTTGTTGTTGTTGTTGTATGCCTCTCTCGAGACGGGTTACAACATAACTTAAAACACATGATCATCCTATGTGCAATTGATCTTTGGAACGGCCCCTGATTATGATTGAGGATGGGGTGATTTCAATAGTGAATGCAGTGTTGTATATGCTTTAATGTATATTTAATTTTAATTTTTACCTGAAGTGTATTCCAACGGTTTGTTGTCCAAAGGCATCGAACAGTTGCCGTATGTTAAGCCGTCTTGCATCCCCTTTGGGAAATAAATCAAGAATCAGCATTGTATAAAATATTAAAACCTCTTTCTACAACAGACGTATGTGAACGTCCCTCTTTTTCTTCTTTCAGGAGGACGCGCTCCTTGCATGGACCATGCCCAGTGACCACGTTTGGACCAAAGGCCTGCATGCTGCAGAACCCCAAAACGATCATGTAAGTCGGAAAGCGCCCAACCCGATCAATCCGATGGTTGATCCAAGACAAGACTTTTCGATCTCTTGGGTTGAAACTCATTCATATTTTTGTTCTTGACCATTTATGGAAATGCTCCAAATGTTGACGTTGTGTACTCACCCGTTTCCGTTGTGACTTGATTGCCTTGGTGTCTCAGCCATAAAAGCTTTATCTAGGAAACTTCCAGTAAACTCTTTGGTTTATAATGTGTCGTTTAGTGAGGCTTGTTGACATCAGGTTCTGAGCCACCGAAGGGCAGTTATCTCTCCCAAGGGGGTTCTGTGGGTTGTAACCTGGGTGGAAAATTGCTTTGGAGGGGTAACTCCAGTGCAGACTTCTCTTGGAGTCCAAGGAAGTCAGTTAGACTTAGATTTACTTCTTGATCTCAGGTAGAGGTTGTGCCGTTTCCAAATGGTGTGAGAAAATTAGTGTTTGAAGTCGTTTAATGAAGATCTAGATTCACATCCTTGGAACATTTACTCTATGATCTAGATTCAGATCCTTGCAAAGTCTATGAAGATCTAGATTCACATCCTTGGAATGTTTACTCTATGATCTAGATTCAGATCTTTGTAAGGTCTATGAAGATCTAGATTCAGATCTTTGGGATGTTTACTCTGTGAAGATCTAGATTCAGATCCGTGGAACATTTACTCTGAAAATCTAGATTCAGATCCTTGGAAAGTATGAAGATCTAGATTCAGATCCTTGGGATGTTTACTCTGTGAAGATCTAGATTCAGATCCGTGGAACATTTACTCTGGAAATCTAGATTCAGATCCTTGGAACGTTCACTCTATGATCTAGATTCAGATCCTTGGGATGTTTATTCTACAGATCTAGATTCAGATCCTTGGAACGTTTACTCTATGATCTAGATTCAGTTCCTTGGGATGTTTACTCTATGGAGATCTAGATTCAAAACATCGAAACGTTTACTCTGAAAATCTAGATTTAGATCCTTGGAACATTTTCTCTATGATCTAGATTCAGATCCTTGGAATGTTTCAGATCCTTGGAACGTTTACTCTATGAAGATCTAGATTCAGATCCTTGGAACGTTTACTCTGTGAAGATCTAGATTCAGATCCTTAGAACATTTATTCTATGGAGGTCTAGATTCAGATCCTTGGAATGTTTACTCTGTGAAGATCTAGATTCAGATCCTTGGAACATTTACTCTGTGAAGATCTAGATTCAGATCCTTGGAACGTTTACTCTGTGAAGATCTAGATTCAGATCCTTAGAACATTTACTCTATGGAGGTCTAGATTCAGATCCTTGGAATGTTTACTCTGTGAAGATCTAGATTCAGATCCTTGGAACGTTTACTCTGTGAAGATCTAGATTCAGATCCTTAGAACATTTACTCTATGGAGGTCTAGATTCAGATCCTTGGAATGTTTGATTATTAAGATCTAAATTCAGATCCTTGGAACTTTTACTCTGTGGAGATCTAGATTCAGATCCTTGGAACATTTACTCTGTGAAGATCTAGATTCAGATCCTTAGAACATTTACTCTATGGAGGTCTAGATTCAGATCCTTGGAATGTTTACTCTATGAAGATCTAGATTCAGATCCTTGGAACGTTTACTCTGTGAAGATCTAGATTCAGATCCTTAGAACATTTACTCTATGGAGGTCTAGATTCAGATCCTTGGAATGTTTGATTATTAAGATCTAAATTCAGATCCTTGGAACTTTTACTCTGTGGAGATCTAGATTCAGATCCTTGGAACATTTACTCTGTGAAGATCTAGATTCAGATCCTTAGAACATTTACTCTATGGAGGTCTAGATTCAGATCCTTGGAATGTTTGATTATTAAGATCTAAATTCAGATCCTTGGAACTTTTACTCTGTGGAGATCTAGATTCAGATCCTTGGGACATTTACTCTATGAAAATATCTGTATAGTCTTGCCGCCTTCTCTTGATCTCTTCAACTTCTGTTAGGTCCTTGCCATCTTTGTTTTTGATCATACCCATTTTTGCTTGAAATTTACTGCTGATGTTTCTAATTTTCTGGAAGAGGTCTCTTGTCCTTCCTATTCTATTGTCTTCTTCCACTTCCATGCATTGCTTGTTTGAAAATAGTTTCTTATCTCTTCTGGAATTGGCTAACCTCCATAACCTCCTTCCATTCCAAGCATAAAGTTCCCCCACTCCTACCATGACTCAGTTAAGGGCCTTCTTGAGTAAGGTCTTGACGCCCTTCCTAAAGCTAACCAAAGATGGAGCAGCCCTTCGTTCTTCAGGGAGGGAGTTCCAGAGGGCTGGGGCTGCACCTGAGAAGGAGCCTTCTCTAGTTATGCGTAGACGCATACTGGTGGGGGCTCATGTATGGATCTGGGTTTCCCCGCTTGATTTGAGTACACGTCCTGGGATGTATTGGGAGACATGGTGCTCCACGTAGGCTGGACCGAAGCCATCTATTATTATTATTATTATTATTATTATTATTATTATTATTAAACTTTATTTGTCCCCCGCTAGCATCTCCCAAAGGACTCGATGCGGCTTACAAAGGCCGAGGCCTCAACACACAATACAACAATACAAAACCTAAAGCAAATTAAAACAATTAAAGCAATATAAACAACAAGCAATAAACAATACACTAAGACACAATGAAACTGGGCCGGGCCAGGGTAATGGGTACAGAGTTAAAAGTGCTGATGTGACAGGTGGTATACAAGGCATTATAGGGCAAGCGCAGTGTGCGGTGAGCAGCAATCTTCGTTCTAATAAAGTGCTTCTGGGACTTGGTATTGGAGATTTCCTATTCTGGGAAGGCACATCGGAACAGCCAGGTCTCCAAGTTCTTTCTGAAGACTGCCAATGTAGGGGCCTGTCTAAGATCTTTGGGGAGGGTGTTCCAGAGTCGGGGGGCCACCACAGAAAAGGCCCTGTCTCGTGTCCCCACCAAACGCGTTTGCGACGCGGGCGGAATCGCGAGCAGGGCCTCTCCGGATGAATGAAGTGAACGCGTGGGTTCATATACGGAGATGCGGTCACGCAGGTAGGATGGTCCCAAACCGTTCAGGGCTTTGTAGGTAAGCACCTGCACCTTAAATTGGGCTCGGAAAATAAACGGCAGCCAGTGGAGCTCCTTGAACAGGAGGGTTGACCTCTCTCTGTAATGAGCCCCAGTTAACATCCTGGCTGCTGCCCGTTGGACCAGTTGGAATTTCCGAGCCGTTTTCAAGGGCAGCCCTACGTAGAGCGCATTGCAGTAGTCCAATCTTAGAGGTGACCAAGGCATGGACCACCCCGGCCAGATCAGCCTTCGCGAGGTACGGTCGCAGTTGGCGCACGAGTCTCAATTGTGCAAAAGCCCTCCCGGACACCGCCGACGCCTGAGCCTCAAGCGTGAGCGATGAATCCAAGAGGACTCCCAAACTGCGGACCTGTGCTTTCAAGGGGAGTGTAACCCCGTCCAACACAGGTTGCCACCCTATACCCCGATCCGGTTTACGATCGACCAGGAGGACCTCTGTCTTGTCGGGATTGATCTTCAGCTTGTTCGTCCTCATCCAGATAGACACAGCAGCCAGGCACTTGTCCAGCACTCGGGGGGCTTCCTTGGAGTTGGGTGGAAAGGAGTAGTAGAGTTGTGTGACATCTGCATAGAGGTGGCACCTAACTCCAAAACTCCGGATGACCTCTCCCAGCGGTTTCATGTAGATGTTCATGTAGGGCTTTATAGCATGTTTGATTGAGCCCGGAACCGGACAGGCAACCAACGGGGCTGCTTCAGGATAGGCATAGTATGCTCCCTGAAGTTAACACTCATCAGAAGCCTGGCCACCGCTCTCTGAACGAACTCTAATTTCCGGACGCTCTTCAAGGGCAGACCTATGTAGAGCGTGTTGCAGTAGTCCAGTCTGAGCGTAACGAACGCATGCACCACTGAGGCCAGGTTAGGACTCTCCAGGAACGGACTTTATTTTGAAGGAAAGGCTGGAGGGAGGGAGGAGGGAAAGCGCCTTGGAGAGCGGCCGTGGCAAAACCCTGCGAAACCGCGAAAATACAGCGATATATATTTTAAATTAATATTTTTTAAATCCGCGAAACAGCGAGCCCGCAATAAGTAGCGAAGGAATGCTGTATTGTCCTGATATTTTCAGTGGCCCTTGTTGTTACTGAATCGTAAGGCGTCTGTATGATTTTGAAGTCACAGTTCCTTATTTGCCCAACCTGCACCTGGTTTGGGAAAATAAATATAGTTCGGACAAATCAGGAAGTGATGCTTTTAAACCGGATTGGGGAAGAAGATTGAGAGTGGCGTTACTATTGCCGTGGGGCCTATTTTTCCTTGTTCCTCTCTAAACAGCGCTGAGCTCATTCACTTTTTATAATCACACAGCCATCCTGACCAAGGTCTACTTCTGAGGAGGTCTGAATCACTTGCTTTGAATATTGATAGAAGGGAGTTCCCTCTCTTGCAAGCACTTCGAGGTAGCCATCCGGCCCTTCAACCATTGACAAAGGAGTGTATGTTTAAGCCTGTTAATCTGGAGTAGAGTTCGTATCAATATGTAAACATAACTGATTACAACTGCCTTAGCATTTTTCCTTCCTCATTGTTGGGTTCCCTGATATTTTGCACTCAACACAGATTTGTGCATCTTATTTGTAGTGCAAAAAACACTTAAAAACAATGCAATAATTAAAATGAAGAACAATTTTAACAACTATAAACTTATTAGTATTTCAATGGGAAGTGTGGGTCTGCTTTTGGCTGATGAGATAGGATGGATTGTCGTTGTTGTTGTTGTGTGCTTTCAAGTCGTTTCAGACTTAGGTTGACCCTGAGCGAGGACCGGGTAAATGAACTTGGAGGGATGTATTCGCCCTCGGGCCATAGTTTAAGGATCCCTGGTCTAGATCTAGGGAAGTCATGCTCCCCATGCTCTATTCCGCCTTGGTTCGACAACACCTGGAATATTGTGTCCAATTCTGGGCACCACCATT